CGTGGCTTCAGTCAGCGGCAGGGAGTTGACTACTTTCAGACCTTCTCTCCCACCCCGAAGATGACTACTCTTCGGGTGCTGCTGCACATAGCCGCTCAGCGCGACTACGAGCTTCACTCTCTCGACTTCAGCACTGCGTTCTTGCAGGGTAGCCTGCACGAGGAGATCTGGCTTCGCCGTCCACCTGGCTTCACTGGGACTTTCCCTCCTGGCACCCAGTGGAGCCTCCGACGGCCAGTCTACGGTCTCCGCCAGGCACCGCGTGAGTGGCACGACACACTGAGGACTACACTTGCGGCTCTTGGGTTTGCTCCTTCTACTGCTGACCCGTCGCTGTTTCTTCGCACCGACACTTCCCTGCCGCCGTTCTACATCCTCGTGTACGTCGACGACTTGGTCTTTGCCACAGCAGACACTGCTGGACTCGCCTACGTGAAGTCCGAGCTGCTGAAGAGACACACGTGCACAGACCTGGGTGAACTGCGCAGCTACCTTGGCTTGCAGATCACTCGGGACAGAGCACGCCGCACCATTACCTTGACTCAGTCACACATGGTGCAGCAGGTCCTTCAGCGCTTCGGCTTCACGTACTCCTCGCCTCAGGCCACTCCTCTGCCTACTCGCCACTCACTCTCAGCTCTGCCTTCGGATGAGTCCGTAGAGTCGAGTGGTCCGTATGCAGAGCTTGTTGGCTGCCTCATGTACCTGATGACCTGCACACGACCTGACCTTGCATACCCTCTGAGCATCCTTGCACGCTATGTTGCTCCTGGGAGACACAGACCGGAGCACATGGCTGCAGCGAAGAGGGTATTGCGCTACCTGTGCAGTACGTCGGGCATGGGGCTAGTGCTTGGAGGGCGGAGTCCAGTGGTCCTTACCGGCCACGCGGACGCTTCTTGGGCTGACGACCAGGCTACGCAGCGGTCGTCACAGGGTTACACCTTCAGCCTTGGTTCCGGCTCTGTCTCGTGGCGGTCTACTCGCCCGTCTTCGGTTCTCGGCTCCAGTTGTGAGGCTGAGATCTACGCCGGGGCCATGGCTGCACAGGAGCTTCGCTGGCTCACCTACCTGCTGACTGACCTTGGAGAGCCGCCTCGTTCTCCTCCAGTGCTGTACGTAGACAACAAGGCTATGCTGGCCTTGTGTCGAGAGCAGCGCTTGGAGCACAGAACGAAGCACATTGCTCTCCGCTACTTCCTTGCTCGTGAGCTGCAGCAGCGTGGTCAGTTGCGACTTGCGTACGTGGCCTCTGAGGCCAACACTGCTGATGTGTTCACCAAGGCACTCGCGCCTTGTGACCATCAGCGCTTTTGCACCCAGTTGGGTCTTGTGCCTGTCTTGCCTCACTTGCTCTCCTCTTGACTTCACTTGTACTTTGACATATATATATGCCTATCTTGTTTGTCTAGTTTTATATATATGTCTGTACTCCTGCATGTGAACTGGCCTCTGGCCCTACTCTTGTGCTCGGACTGTGTGGTGACTTTGTGATCCACCCTGAGCTTGCTTTGCTTTGCTTGACTGGTCTTGTGACCCCTTGTTCTCCCCCACTTTGCCTATGGGGGTGTGTCAGATTTATATGACATAGTTGCTGTAGGCTATAGTGGGGTAGCACATATGGGGTACAGGGTTTCTAGGGTTGTATTTGTACCCAATCTTTCCTTAGTCATTCCATTCCTGCTTACTCACTTCACAGTGCAGGGGGCTCGGGCGGCTCGGGCGGCTCGGGCGGCTCGGGCGGCTCGGCGGCTCGGCTGCTGGGCGGCTCGGGCGGCACGGCTGCTGGGGCGGCTCGGCTGCTGGGGCGGCTCGGCTGCAGGGGCGGCTCGGCTACTGGGGCGGCTCGGCTGCTACGGCGGCTTGGCTGCTGGGGCGGCTCGGCCTCTGGGACGGCTCGGCTGCTGGGGCGGCGGGGCCGGGAGATGAGGCGGCGGGGCCGGCAGGTGCAGCAGCGGGGCCGGAAGGTGCAGTAGCGGGGCCGGCAGGGTTAGCGGCGGGGCCGGTAGGTGCAGCGGCGGGGCCGGCAGAGGGGACGGTGGGGCCGTCAGAGGGGACGGTGGGGCCGTCGGGTGCAGCTGCGGGGCCGGCAGAGGGGACGGCAGGGGCCGTCAGAGGGGACGGCGGGGCCGTCAGGTGCAGCGGCGGGGCCGTCTGAAGCAGCGGCGGGGCCGGCAGAGGGGACGGCGGGGCCGTCGGGTGCAGCGGCGGGGCCGGCAGAGGGGACGGCGGGGCCGGCAGAGGGGACGGCGGGGTCGTTAGGTGCAGCGGCGGGGCCGTCTGAAGCAGCGGCGGGGCCGGCAGAGGGGACGGCGGGGCCGTTAAGCGCAGCGAAGGGGCCGATAAGGGGGACGGCGGGGCCGTCGCAGGCGATCGCGGGGCCGCCTAAGGGGACGGCGCGGTCGCGAGGGTCAGAGGGGGGGCGGCGCGCGACGCGGCGCGGCCGTCTAGGGGCGGCGCGACGAGGCCGCGGAAGTGGCGCGCCAAAAAAAAAAGGCGGGCGGCTCGACGCGATCGGGCCGCCAAAGGAAAAAGAAGGCCCAGCGCGACTCGGGCTAGGGCAGAGCGCGCTCCGGGCAGGACGAAATAGTGGGTGGGCCCTAGGAACAGTTCCCACTATGGAACCTGCTCGATACCATGTTGAGATAGAGGCGAGGAATGTGTGCACTATGAAATGAAACAAGTACAAGTACCAACCCTAATTGGGTTGTACCCCATATGGGCTACCCCACTACAGCCTACAATACATGCATCAGCTAAATATAATCTGACACTCAGAGTCCGACTCAGGTTCCTCTACGTTGTTGCAGAAGAAACCGTCAGCTGCAATTTCATCATCCATGTCAACCTCCTCGCCCTCGAGCTCGTCTCGCCTGTGTTGCAGGCAGAGCTTGTCCTGGGACCCACCCAACCTCTTCAACGGTGCGTTCGGATGTCATCTCAAGCCAGAGGGGCGTCTGGTCCGCGTTTATGATCCACGGCAGGTCGATCTTGTACTGGCGGCGGGAGTGACGCACATACGTCCAGAAGTTCTTGACATCAGTCTCGCAGTCTGGGACACGAGATGGGAGGAACAGAAAGCACAAACACAGAGTGAGAGCCGTGAATAGATGGGAACAGACAAACAACAATACCACCAAATAACAACTCACTGGACGAGAGCTTCTGGCCGACCCGGGTCTTCGCTCTGGTCGTCAGGTTCCAGCGGCGGCGAAAGCGCTGAGTCCACCGCTGAGAGCCGGCCCACTTTTCACCTGGGTGTAACTCTTTCATCACCTCGTGCGACCACTTCTGCAGTCGTGCGATCGAGACGGCGAGGCACTTCTTGCGGTGGGCGAGAAACCTCCGGTACACCTCCGCTTCCATGTCGCGATACCACGAGCTCCTTCCGCGGCCGTGCAGGCGACAGCGTGCACCGTGCGCGCCCTCAAGCTCAGCCTTCCGGCTCTTCCACTCCGTGAGACACCTTCGGGAGATGCCGGATTCGCGAGACATGCGCCGCACACTCATCTCTCCGTTTTCGAGCTTCAGAATCCATTGCAGCTTTTCATGCGAGGTGTAGGAATTGCGCCTGTGCTTTGTTGGCTTGTGCCTGGGGGAGGGAGGACGGGCATCACAATTATCGCGAGATGGGTGGGGCCTTTTTTTATTCGGAGGGGGGAAGGAGGGAATTGGAAGGTGCTCGGGGAGACCGTCAGCAGCCCAGAACTCCACGTCGTCGTCTGCACCGGTTGCGGATTCGTCCAACGGGCAAGCAGCCGGCGCTCCCCACCGTTGCTCCGGTGCGGAGGAAGATCCTTCGCCGCCGCTGCGTTCAGGCTCGGACAGGAAGGCGTCGAACGCCGAGTAGCCAGGCGGGAGGAGAAGCTGCAGAACCCCCTGTCCCGGAACACAAACAGCAGGCGGGACAGGAGGGGCCGGAGGAACGGGAGGAATAGGAGGCGCCGGGGGAGCGGGAGGGGTAGGAGGCGTAGGAGGAGTGGGAGGAACGGGAGGCACTACTGGTTGTGATGGAGGGACGGGCGCAGGGCGCGACTGCCATTGAGAGTAGTCACGGGTGTCTCTGCAGGTACTTTCTCTAGCAGCAGGTCGGCGGCGGAACAAGAAATGCGTGCCTGGAAGGTCCGCCATGGCCACGGCAGGCCAAGCGAACAAAGAAAACTGAATCAAAAGCTGAGAATGAGGGCCGTATGAAGCCCTCGCCCGAGACCCCTTCAGTTTTGCGGCCCGGCTTCCTCTGCGGGGAAAGTCCAGCCACAGTCAAGATTCCCCGCAGAGGAGCTGAGCTGGGAAGCTCTTTGCCTCAGTGGCAGGGAATCTTGATGTTGATGGGCACGTCGTGGCTGAACCACGACGTGCCCGCGATCGCATGCAACCATGATTGGGCCGCTATGATGCGAAGTACATGTGCGCTGGCATGGGCCAGGTTCACGTTCGATGAACCTGGCCTGACCAACAAGGCGTGGAAGGCGTCATGCCACGCCTTGTTGGCCGTTTCACGCGCAAAGCATGTACAATTTTGAACGTTCTCGACTCAGGTGAATTCGCCTTTGAGAATGCTTCGATTTGATATATTTAAAAACAAATTTCATTTTTGACATAACATAAATGCCGGCGCTTATAATTTTACTATATTATAAGCCCACCCCCTAAAAAAAACATGTTTTATTAGTGCCCCCCATGGGGGTTTATCCGGGGTATGACGGTACAAGATATAGGTTGAAAGGAAGGTGGCAAAGGGGGGTTTATCACCAACAATAGAGATCTAAAGGTGATACTACTATGAAGTGGGGGGGTGTTGGGGATGTGGGGCGTTGCCGTTGCGCGGTAAGGTGTGGAGAGAGATGCAGGCTTGATGTTGAATCTGGTTGACAGAGTATCGGCGTACTTGGCAGCGAAGAGATGAATGGCGTTACCGTACTGAGATTCTTCTCGAATTGCTCCAGAAGCTCGTTGTTGGGGCCTGTGTAAAGCCTCAAAAGACAGCAAGGCATGGAACATCAAGTCGCATGTGAGGAGCACTCACTGTTGATGCGCTTCTTGGGCACGGTGCCATTGTTGAGTGCGTACACAAAGTTGCGCACCTTCTCCGCATTCAGCCGTGCTGAGTACTGCCAGGGGGGAGCGGAGGCGGGGTGCGAACAGGAGGGGAGGCAGAGGGGAAGAGAGGAGGAGGGGGGAAGAGAAAGAGGGAGAGAGAGGGAAAGGGGGGTGGGAATCGGGGGAGGGAGGGGAGGTGGTGGGAAAAACGGGGAGGAGGGTGGAAGGGACGGGAGGGAGGAAGGTGGGGGAGGAAGGGGGGGTTAGTCCATGCAATCAGAAGGTACATGCCAAAGTCTTAAAGCACAGAATTGCATGCACAGCCACGGCACACATTCAGCATGCAGTCAGTCAGTCAGCAGATTCGGGCCCCGCATGCGTTGGACACCGCTGCACTGCATGCTTTGGAATGGGGATACTCCGCTGATACGTGAAAGAACCCCACCACACCACCTTTTGGTCAGTTTCGAAGATCGTAGTGCACGCAAAACTGGCACGAGGCATGTCCCATGGAATGGGAGCAGAAGCATGTGAATGGAATGAGGCAAGGCAGTGTGCATGGCATGGTACTGGTTGTCACAGCACCGGAATGACAATCACATGGTAGTGGCAATTGCACGGACGGATTAGCTATGCGTGTGCCACTCGAGAGAATTCTCCGAAATGGCAATGTGCATGGCATGACCACCCTCATCTCAACTACGTCACAGCACAGCACACCTGAATGACAATGACATAGTACTGCGCGGACGTTGAGCCGACTCAAAGGTCACCACGGTGTGTGTGTGTGTGTGCATGGCACGGCACTGGTAGTCACAGCACAGCACAGCACAGCACAGCACAGCACAGCACAGCACAGCACAGCACAGCACAGCACGGCACAGCACGGCGCAGCACAGCACAGCACGGCACGGCACAGCACAGCACAGCACAGCACAGCACGGCACAGCACGGCGCACCTGAATGACAATGACATAGTACTTGGAGTAGCGCGGATTGCTGCAGTCCACCACCTCTGCAGGCGCCTGTGTGTTGGTCTGGTGGTGCCCGGGGTATGGGGGAGACGAGGGGGTGGATTGGGCAACTGGGGGAAGGGAAAGGGAGGGGGTGGAGATTGGAACGGTTCTGTGAGGAACAGAAACACATGGGAGGTTGGAAGGTTGTTCAGATGAGGAAGGGGGTGATAAAGTGAAGGGATGGGACGAGTTAACCTCGCTCTCACCCCATGATGACTAACTTCTATTGAAGCTATTGTACGTTTGTCAACTTGCCTTCATCATACATACCCTGATCTGATTTGATATCACGTCCCGACGACACTACATCCTGACGTTACAATCAGACATGTCATACATAACCTGACATGATACCCTGACAACATGCCTGGAGACTTACCATTACATTACACCGCCGCTCCACACCATACACCATGACATCATAACACGACATCATGACGTCACACCATGACAATGCCCTTGCACAGATGGTCAACGGACGGGGCGCCAAGCACGTCTCGCCGCGCCTCCAGCGTCCAGTCGTAATAATCCGACGAGACTCGCCGAAACCGGAATCGCGTGATACTTCCCGCTCGAATCGCGTCTGCGAGCCGCGTCTGCGTGGCAATCTCATCCCCTGCCGCCACGTCACCAGGCACTGAACCTTCCAGATATTTCAAACCATCGCTTCCTTCCTGCGACGCGTGTTCGGAAGGAAGGAAGGCCACGAGAGGCGGCGTTACTTGTGAAAGGTTCGAGCCAGCTTCGCTGCGCCGCGGCGGTGATTGCGGCGAGGCGATCATTGAGTTGGTCGATCTTAGATAGGATGGTGATATCGAGGTCTGGCGACATGGTAATGATAGTCCTGTTTGTTATACATGTTTTGTCTTTTTACTACTGAAAGTAAGTGCTGTATTACTCACTGGAATCGCTCTATACCGCTTCGTGTAGTTCACAACTTTGTGCTGGACAAATCAAACCAGTAACAAACGGGATGGCGAAAACTCAACGACACCACTCACGACACAACCTGCCAGTGACGATTCAGCCTGTACCACCACCCACCAACACCAACATCGAGAACTCCAACCCTGAAACTACCTGCACCCCACCCACCTCCCATCCCAACCCAACCTCTTCCATAACCCCAGCTTCTCGCAAATTACCAGAGCCAGATCCATGGTCGTTGGCCTCCTCACAGATCCATAGCTTCAACTTCTCACAAAGTTTCTCGTTGAAATAGTCAGGGAATACGCAAATACAGACTTGGTCGTCCGCACACACACGCTTTCAGGTCTGCAAGTCTAATGGCAAACTAACAATTATTTCGTTTCTCGCGATTTGCCCAAACCACTTCTTTCCTTTGTGAGAATGAACCCCGTCTGTTATCATTGGCTAAGAAAATAATCACTGTCGGCAGCGGCAAAGAAGTTTTCCGAAAGAAATCAGGAGTCGATCAATGATGAGAGGAGTCGAGGAGCGAAGCGCGAGGAGCCACAGCAACGCGTATCCGCCATCCATCAATCTGCTTTCCTCCGTCCTGCCAGCCGGCCTTCAGATCGCGACTCAGTCGTCAACGTCACCATCGCAAGTATTCTATATTCCGAATCCAGGCTCTCAGCCCGCTCAAGTGAACCCCTCCTCTGCAAATTTCTCCTTCATCAATCCATCGCTTATCGGCTCGAGCGCCCTGGCGCCATCCCTGATGCAAGCATCCGTTACCGCGCCTTCCAATTCAGCCTCCAGCTTCGTCGGCCAATGGACAGTCATGCCGATCGTTTCCGGGTCGCTCGTAGCGGCTCCTACCCTCTCCTCCTCATCTATCCCACCGTTGCGGCTGAATACTTCGTTGCATCCGTTACTGCTGTCAAACCCTTCGCAATTGTCGCATCTTCCTCTGTCGTCACACTCTTCATCTTCGTCGCTGTTAAACCCGTTCGTATCGTCGCAACCATCGCCATCATCTCACCCCGTAATATCGTCACAGCCATCCGGGTTGTCTTATGCTCACATCCCTACAGAAAGATTGACATCGCACGTGTCTAACCTTACCCCACGTGCACCCACGCCGTCCTCTACTGCTCCTTCCTTGACCGATCCCAACACCACCGCCACGGTAAACCATGCCTCCTCAACTTCCTCCAACCCTCCGTTCAGATTCACTTGGAAGGTCACTGCTGTCACATCCACTTCTCCCGCTGCCGTCCCCTCCCCTACCACGGAAACCCCTCACGTCGCCTCTGCCTCTCCTTCGCTGCTGCCTTTCCAGTCGCACTCCCCCACCCCACCTTCAGCCTCCAATCCTGTGCCAACACCTAATTATATGCTTATATCGAATCAGGCCAACGCTCATTTCCCTGCAAGCACTGCCGCTACCACTTTCACTGCTCCGCCTCCAAAGCACCCCGCTCTTCCCCTTGATTCGCAATCCCCTCATCTCACCGTTCCACCAACCGCTGTGCACCGCTCTGCATCCATTAAGCAAAGAGCCGCCCGCATGCCTTCCAGGACCCCATCTCCCTCGCCCCGCTCCCGCAGTCCTCATCCGTCCTCGAATCAGCCCAACGCTCATTTCCCTGCAAGCACTGCCGCTACCGCTTTCACTGCTCCGCCTCCAAAGCAACCCGCTCTTCCCCTTGAGTCGCAATCCCCGCATCTCACCATTCCTTCCACCACTTTGCACCGCTCTGCATCCATTGGGCAACGAGTCGCCCGCATGCCGTCCAGAACCCCGTCTCCCTCGCCTCGCTCCTGCAGTCCTCATCCGGCCAGCCCGCGTGAGTCCACCCTTCCAAAGCACAGCCACGCGTCAAATCACTCAAAAGCCTTCACCTCCACCTCCTCTGGCCGCCGCTCCTTCACTCACCAATCCTCCGCGAGCCCCAAATTTTCCCGCCAGCGGTCGTCCTTCTCCCCTCGCCCATCTTCCCCTCCTCCTGCTCGCGCTGCCTCTGTATCCCAGCCATCTCCTGCCCCCGCTGCCGCTGCCACCGCTGCTGCTGCTGCTGCTGCTCCGTCTCTTGCATGTGGTGGTTCGCTGGGCAGTGCAGGGTCTGCGTCAATGCGGAATCTGTACAGCATGGCGTGGGCCAGTGGCGTGTGCAGCTGGGACGAGATGGAGGGCGACGTGGACCTCGGCCTTGGCCTGGTTGACGCTGGCGCGACGGAGGGTATGTTGGGCGGGAAGGAGGGGGGGATGGAAAAGGAGAGGAAAAAGGAGTTGGGGGATAAGGAGAAGGAGAAGGAGAAGGAGAGGAAAAAGGAGAAGGAGAAGGAAAAGGAAAAGGAGAAAGAGAAGGGAAAGGAGAAGGAGAAGGAGAAGGAGAAGGAGAAGGAGAAGGAGAAGGGAAAGGAGAACTCTAAGAATAAGGACAAGGGGAAGGATTCAGGGAAGGAGGAGAAAGCAGCCGTGAAAGTAGCGGACAACAACAAGGAGAAGGAGCAGGAGACGGATAAGGACGCAAAGGCAACAGAGGAGGAGGAGCGACAGAATAGGGAGACATTGAGGAAGGACAAGAAGAGGGAAAAGAGGAAGCTGTTTAGGAAGCAGAAGAAGGAGAAGTTGAGGAAGGAGAGGGAGGAGAGGGAGGAGAGGGAGGAGAGAGAGAAGGAAGAAAAGGAAAAGGAAATAGAGAAGGAAAAGGGGAGCGAGAAGGGGGAGGAGAAGGAGAAACGGGAGGAAGAGACAAACGAGGTGTTAGAGGGGGAGAAAGACGCAGGGGAGGAGAGGGAAAATGCGGAGGAAAAGGGGGCGCAGTTGAAGGTGGGGAGAAGAAAAAGGAAGAGGATGAAAGGGTTGGCTACTGACGGTAGCAAGGAGGCAAAGGGGCCAAACCAGGATGAGAAGACGAAAGGCACAGCAAGGCACATGGAAGGGGGGTCGCAAGACAGAGGCGATGGAAAGGAAGAGGTGAAAAGGCGAAGAGAGGCAGTCACTCGTGCAGGGGAAAAGGGCGGCACAGAAGCTATGGCCATGGAAACAGGATGGAAAAGTGCGAGAAATCTTAATCATGTGGACAGCAAAACGGCAGGTGGCAATGATGCCGGCAGCAGTGCTAGGAGTGGTGCGGCCTGTGGTTCTGTTGATGGCGCTACTGCTCCTGCGGCTACTGCTGCTGAAGCTGGTGATGGGAAGATTGTGCACGGAGACAAGGATGGGGAGGAAGGGAGTGAGGCGGAGGAGGGGGAGATCGAGGATGAGGAGAATGCCACAGACAGGAGCAAAGTCTGCGCAGCGTTCTTTATGGGGCACATGCAGCTAGCAGAGCAGGAGAGGAGCAGCCGCGGAGCAGCAGCAGAAGCAGCGGGGTTGCCGCTTGCAGATTCCAGAACGAATCAGCAGCTGTCGGTGATACCACTGCCACCCCTGCCGGCGCTGCCGCCAACGCCACCACTGCCGCCGGCAGCACAGGTGGCAGCAAGAGCAAAACAAGAGCTTCCGTCAGGAGCAACAGCCAGCTCGGTTCCTCGTTTGCCTGCAACACCACCGCTGCCACCATTGCCACCACAGCCGCCACTGCCGCCGCCACAGCCAAAGCCACAGTTATCAGTGCACGCACCACTGGCGCCACGTGCACCAGTACCACCACCCAACATGATGCCTCTGCTGCCACCGCTGCCGCCACTTCCCCCCGACCCCCCACCACGATCAGCAACACCACCGCTACCACGATCAACCACACCACCGTTACCACAATCAACCACACCACCGTTACCTCAGGAGCTTGCAGCATCAGGTGGTGCAGTGGCAACAGGAAGCGGTGGCGGTAGATTGTCCCCTTTCTCCTCTGCGCTTCCAGCAGCAGCCCCACCGCCCTTTCCCCCCGATGCAGCGACTTTGATGGCAGCACTGGAGCAGCTCCTTGCAGCTGCTGGGGCACAGGGGTCAAACGCGCATCTGCTCAATGCCACAGCAGCAGCAGCAGCAGGTGGCACAGCAGCGTCTGTGTTACCTGCACAGCCAGTCGCAGATGCAGCTAAAGCAGCAGGAGCGGGATCAGGGGTAGGAGCAGTGGAGGCAGCGACAGCAGGAGCAGCAGAAGCAGTGCGGTATTCGTACAATCCATTTGCTGGTGATGAGGTTGACCCCCCAGCCCCAGCCACCACCAGTGAAGCTGCAGCTCCCACCTCCTCTCTCCCACCACCTGCCCACTCGTCGCTCTATTCTTCCCTCCAACAGGCTCTCGAGTCCAATCCTGACTTGCTCTCATACCTCGCCTCTCTGCACCACTCTGCATCCCTGGGTTCCACGACAGCAGGGGAGGGTGTAACACCTTCCCATGCTACGCACCAGCAGCAGCCGGTGTGGTTGCAGCATTCTTCGCCACCACCTCCCAGTAACACACCTCCTGTTCCTAACACGAGCTCGCTTGATGTGCATGTCCCCCCATCCATACACGCAACGCGGCCCGCTCACCCATCGCCAACATTCGCACACATGCCACAACCCCCTCTGCTTGCTACACAGGCAGCAGCTGCTACCGGTACCTCCCATGCTGCTGCAGCAGCTGCTGCTGCTGCTGGTGGTGCTAATTCTGCTGCATTTGCTGCAACGGTAGAAGCAACAAGCGCAACGGCAGGGGCCTCTGCTGCTAGTGCAGGGGCAGCAGAGGCATCCAAGGACAAGGACAAGGACATGGTGCGGCAACGAGATCCGCGCAAGCGCATGCGCTCCGCCCCAGACACAGACGCCACTGGCGGATCTGCCGCTGCTGCCGCTGGTTCTGCTGCTGTTGTTGCTGATCAGGGGAGGCAGGGGCAGGACGGGCAGAGCAGTGGCAAGCAGGAAGGAGGAGTGTGGGAGGATGTGGTGGAGGTGGGAGGGGGCAAGAGACAGCGCATGGTGCTTGATGCTGGCGGTGCGAGTGATGCTGATGATGTGGTCGTGAGTGTGAAGGAAGAGTGGGAGGCAGCAAGGGGTAGCGGCAGCGACGCAAGGAGAGAAGGGGCGAGAGAAGCAGCAGCGCGTGGTGCAGTGCGTGCAGAGGAGCAAGCACGTGCATTGGTGCCGCATGGAGAGGAGAGTTTGGCGTGCGAGGGGATTGTGGCGACAGCAGGGGAAGTGCGGGGCGAGGAGGGCAGGGCCGCAGCAGGAGGTGCTGGGGGGCAGGTGGTGGGGCGGAGGAGAGTCGGGGATCCAAGGGTTTTCGGCATGCAGTCACAACCAGGGCCCGCTTCAGTGGAAAACGAGGAGTGGGCGAAAATGGGGGCGGAAGGGGCGCCTGAGCAGCAAGTCTCAGACACACGGTGGGATGCTAGCTCACGTGAGTGCGCTGCTGCCACCGCTCCTTCTGCGGCTGCTGCTGCTGCTGCTTTTGAGGCAGTGCCGACTGCAACTGCTGCTGCTGCTGAGGTGCGGGGTGTGGAGGGCGAAGGGCAAGGGACCGATGGGCGCAGAGGTAATGCATTCGCAGGGCAGCATGGTGGGGTGGTGGAGGAATGGTTTAGCGATGGGGAGGACGAGGAGGAAGAAGAGGACACTGGTGTTGGCAGCAAAGTGGAGGCAGCAGCAGAAGGGGCGGGTGCGGCAGCAGGCAGGATGGGGGGCTGCAAAGATGGTGCAGGTGCAGCGGAGCAGGGAGGGGAGGTGACGGGGATAGCAGCGGAGAGGCTCCGGCGCATGGCGGAGACAGAGAGCATGCTGGCTGCTGGCAAGCTGTGCCTCGTGCTGGACCTCGACCACACGCTCCTCAACTCCGCCAAGGTGCCGCCCGCCTCTCCCCTCCCTCGTACTTCTGTCTCTCAATGTCTTGCTGACTTTTGAGTCGACTCAAAAGTCAGAAGCAAGCTGTGCCTCGTGCTGGACCTCGACCACACGCTCCTCAACTCCGCCAAGGTGCCGCCTCTCCTCTCCATGCCTCTCTTTCCCCCTCTCTCAATCTCTCTCTCTCTCGCCTGTGTGGGGGCGGGTGGTGGGATGAGCCACAGACAAGAGGGCACGAGGGGCACACTGACATGCACACAGACATGCGAATACACATGCACATGCACATGCACACATGTGCACACGTACATGCTCGCAAGGTTCAAAAATACGATCGTATTTTTGAAAATTTACCGTAAATTACGGTATCGTAATTTACGGTCGTAAATTACGGTAAAAATCGGTTTGACGTTGCAAAATTAGGTTGGTTCAAAAATACGGTCGTAAATTACGACCGAAAGTTTGAAACCGAGTTTGTGTATAGCGAATTTCAACATTTCCCAACCGTCAACCTGTTCGTGAGAATTTTTGTGGCCCCAAACCCACTCGAGAGTGTTTTTTTCCCGAGTCGCGAGTGTCAGCAAAATCTCGAGGCGGGACATTGTGCATTTTGGTGACAGTTTAACAGGTTTGTTGCCCATTCGCACACTCGTTTGTGTATTTCGCCGAATCGCAAATGTACAAATTTGTGCGACGCGGCAAATTGTACATTTGGCGAACGGATAACACAAGTCTACCCGTTTCGCCAAGTCGGTGGGTCGTTACGCGGCCCGTTCGTTTTTTTCGCCCGCATGCGCTACTCAACTCAATTTCGACACTGCAAAACCATTCCAACCAATAGCGTTCGTCCAATCTTCATCCCTTCCATCTCATCCCTTTTGCATATTCCATTCGCCAACGCAACCAGGGCAAAAACCACCATTCTGTAGTGTAGTATGTTGTTACCTTCCTTGTCATCGTTGTAAGCTTTCTAGGAATTTCTGGAAAAAAAATTCCGCAAAAAATGTCCATTTAAAAAACGACCGTATTTTTGCCAAAACCACCGTAAATTACGACCGTAATTTACGAGCCGTAATTTACGTTTACCGTATTTTTGAACCTTGCATGCTCGTGCAGTGCTGTAATCCCAGGTTCCATCTTTCCATTGCCTCTCACACTGCATACTCGTCCTGCGCCCTGTCCACGTGCAGTTCTCTGAGATCGGCCCCGAGTGGGAGGAGCAGCTGCGCCACATGGAGGCGCGGGACAAGCAGCACAGCAAGCAGCAGCAGCAGCAGCAGCAGCAGCAGCAGCAGGCGCAGGAGCAGGGGGGCGGGGAAGGCAGTGCAGGTGGCGGGCGGGAGCTGTACCGGTTTCCGCACATGGGCATGTGGACCAAGCTGCGGCCTGGCGTGCGCACCTTCCTCCACCGCGTGCGTGCCGTGCCTCGCCGTCTGTCTGTCTGTTGTCTGTCTGTCTGTCACAGCGTGGAGATGACGGAAATTAAGAAAAGGGCAGCATCACTTGCACGCGTGCTGGAGTGCTCCCAGCACACGCACATGCACTTCATTGTGGACGCCCTAACTCCTCCTCTTTCCTTCCTCACGACCTCTCCTCTCCCATCCCCATCCCTCCCAACCCTCATCCCTCCCCGTCCCCACGCCCCCCTGTAACCCATGGCATGGCAACTGCACACGCGCAGGTGGCAGCGCTGTTTGAGCTGCACGTGTACACGATGGGCAACCGCTGGTACGCGTCGGAGATGGCGCGCATCCTGGACCCCCACGGCACGCTCTTCCACTCCCGCATCATCGCCAAGGGCCTGCAGGCCCCCGCCACCCTCTCCTCCTCCTCCTCCCCCGCTGCCGCTGCCGCTGCTGCTGCTGCCGCCGCCGCCGCCGCCACCGCAACTGCGTCTGCAGCTGCGGGGGATGCGGCGGGGGCAGGGGCAGGAGGAGGGGCAGGGGCGGGGGGAGGGGGCCAGGGGGTGGTGGTGCGGAGCAAGGATCTGGAGGGCGTGTTGGGGATGGAGTCCAGTGTGCTCATCGTGGATGACTCCTCCTCCGTCTGGCCTCACCATGCCCGCAACCTCATCCTCGTTGAACGGTGCGCCACACTCCACTCCATTCCACTCCACTCCACCCCACTCCACTCCACTCCTCTCCCTCCTTCCACCCACGCCCCCACCCCTTGTCCCCGTCTACCTGCCCATGCTACCCTTTGCTCCCTCCACTTCTCGACCTCCCATGCCCCCATTTATTGCCTTGAGTGTACCAATATTCTGTTTCCGTGTACCGGTTATCTATGTCTTACCAGGCGGCCCTGTCTGTCTCTTTTTCTCCAGCCTCTGCACTGCATCTGCACCAGTCGTTTCCTCCCCTCCACTCCACACCCTTACTCTGTTGTTCATGGCATGAAGAACAGCTTGCATGTCCTCGTCTCTGCTCCCCTTCTCTTCGTGCTCGTTCATGCCCTCTCTAACCTTCTGATGCCGTGCTACTACCTCCCCTCAACTCCTTCCCCTCCACCTCTGCCCCCCTCCCACCCCTGCCACCCACGCCCGTGCCCCCCGCACCCGTGCCCCCCTTCCACCCCGCCGCTCTGCAACGCTGCCTCCGTGTGCATGTGTGCGGGCATGGGCACGCGCAGGTACACGTACTTCCCGCACAGCAGGCGCAGCATGGGGCTGCCGGGGCCAGCGCTGATGGAAGTGGGGCATGACGAGAGGGCCGCCGATGGCATGCTCGCCTCCATCCTCACTGTCAGTCTCATGCTTGCCCTGTCATTCCTTGCCGTGCCGTGCCGTGCCATGCCATGCCATGCCATGCCATGCCGTGCCATGCCATGCCATGCCATGCCATGCCATGCCATGCCATGCCATGCCATGCCATGCCATGCCATGCCATGCCATGCCATGCCATGCCCTGCCGTGCCCCAGTCTCTACACACCCTTGTTGAACCCCCAGTCATGCGGGTGCCATGCCCTTACCCACGGTGCCCTTCTTCATTTGGCGTTCTTCTTCCCCCGTCGCCCCTCATCCTGCCCTGCCCGCGTGTCGGATCACAGCCATGGTGTGAGAGCCAGCCTCATCCATGGCCTTCATCAATCTGTCTCTCCTTCCCCCCCCCCCCCACCCCCACTCCGCCCGACTGGGCTTCTCTCCAACCCTCAATACCGTCGCAGGTGTTGGAGCGAATACACGGGTCGTTCTTCGCGAGTAGGCAGCGGGGCATGCAGCAGCAGCACCTGGACGTGCGCAGCATACTGGCGGAGCAGCAGCGCCGTGTGCTCGCCGGCTGCTGCATCGTCTTCTCCCGCATCTTTCCGGTCTGTCACACCTCACTCTCAGCCTCGTGTTTCTCGCTTGTGGGTCAACAAGAGGACCACCAAAATACACCTTAGAATACCTCTGATGCTCTTAGCATGTCTGTGTGTTGTCAATGCAATGTGTGTGCTTCTCATTTCTCGTTAACCTTACTCCCCTTTGGACTAAGACCCATGCTTATAAGTCATTAGGTGTATGTCTGTTCCAGTTCGGTTGCTCTCACTGATTGCCGTTCATCATGCCCTCCGTCTATTCTCCCTCATGCAGCTTTCTGCCTGCTCTTTTATTCTTCACCCCCCTCCCCTTCCTTCCACCCCCCGCTCCTTTCGCTCCTTCCCACTTGCATCTGCACACTGTTTTCTCCATCCCTCCTGTCTCCTCCTTCCTGCCTTCCCCCCCCTTCCCCCCTACGCCCCCCTTCCCTCCACACGTGTCCGTGCCATCACACAGGTGGGAGAGGCCAATGCGCGGGCGCACCCGTTGTGGCGCCTGGCGGAGCAGTTCGGAGCCGTGTGCACGCTCACTCTCTGCGATGCCGTCACACATGTTGTCGCACTTGCACTCGGTACAGATAAGGTGCGGGATGCTGGAGTGTGCTGCTGCAAGGGAAGGAAGGGAAACAGGGGAGGGCTGGGAAAGCAGGGTATCGGGTGGGCGAGTGGTTGATTGATCTGCAAGGGGATGAAAAATGGGATGCTGGGAGGTATTAGCATGGTGTCAGGGGAGTGTAGATTCGTTGGAACTTGGTTAGACCGGAATGCATCATGTTTCTTATCGCACGTACACGCACACTCTCTTCCTCCCCTCGCCTCTTGCATACTGCATTGCCCCTTGTATACCGCCAGTAAACTCACTACATGGCCTGAGCTACTTTCATGATGCACAATGGCTGTGTGGCCCCTCTCTGCAGGTGACGTGGGCCCTTAACTCCGGCCGGCACGTGGTGCGCCCAGGATGGTACGTGCCCTGCTCTGCTGCTCTGGGGTGATGTGGGATGGCATGGGATGGGATGGGATGGGATGAGATGGGATGGGATGGGATGGGATGGGATGGGATGGGATGAGATGGGATGGGATGGGATGGGATGGGATGGGATGGGATGGGATGGGATGGGATGAGATGGGATGGGATGGGATGGGATGGGATGGGATGGGATGGGATGGGATGGGATGGGATGGGATGGGATGGGATGGGATGGGATGGGATGGGATGGGATGGGATGGGATGGGATGGGATGGGATGGGATGGGATGGGATGGGATGGGATGGGAGGGGTGGGGTGGGGTGGGGTGGGGTGGGGTGGGGTGGGGTGGGGTGGGGTGGGGTGGGGTGGGGTGGGGTGGGGTGGGGTGGGGTGGGGTGGGGTGGGATGGTATGGTATGTGGCATGAGCCACACCACAATATCTCAGGACCAGTCGCTTCACAGCCCATGCATTCCATTCCAATCTGTCCCCATTATTCTTCTCCCACACCCCTTCTCCCACCATCCCGCAGACACCCTTCCTTGCTCCTTCTCCACCCGTCCTCCCCAACCCACCCTTCCCCCATCGCCCACATGCTCCGTCCTTCCGCACAGGCTGGAGGCGTCAGCAGTGCTGTACCACAGGGCCAAGGAGCACGACTTCCGCCTCACACCCTAAACCCGAAACCCTTGCCACACCCAAGCAACGCACACACACCTGCCACGCTCTCGCCTGACCCTGCCTGCCACAGTGGGAACTGCAGGCTGAAATGGTAAGGCATGGCGGTCAGAAGGGGGGGATGTGGAGCAGCATGGCATCAAGGTGAGGCCGTGCCGCGAGAAGAGTCGCTTGAGGTGAGGTGCACGGCCTGGCGGTTGAAGAGGACACAGCACAGTGTGCGTGAACATTTTTTTGCTCAAGTTGAGGGTTCGACCACTGATGCACATGAATCATTATGAATCTGAAACTGGTGAAACCGGGAAGGTTACGGGTGCATGACAGGTCACAAGAAGCAAACAGGTTGCAAGATGCCTGTGCATGTGTGCAGTCGAGAAGGGGAGAGGGAGAGAGCAAAGTGAGCTGTCAATGCAGTGGTATCGCTGGATCGAGGCAGGTGGCTGTGCTGTGCTATGGTGTGGTGCATTGGCACACACACGATGAGCCTATGAGAAACCACACTCCTGCCGCTTCATGTGAGCTGATCACCAGGGGCATTATCACAAGGGAACGATGATGTACCGTGAAGCCTTTTGGCACTTGCTACTGTGATGCTTGCCTGCATGATTTTCTTGTCATTGTCTGTGTGTGTGTGAGTGTGTGCGTGTGTGCATGTGTGTGTGCGTGTGACTGCGCTTGGGAGGTGGGGTGCGTCTGTGTTGTGTGTATGGGGAGGGGAAAGTGGGGATTTGTGATTGTTCAATCTGAATATATCAATGTGTCAATGTCTGAATGTGTGGATGTGTGCATGTGGCGTGTGTAAATGTGTGCAGTGTTTGTGAGTTTGTGTGTGTTTGTGCGTGTGTGTGTGTTTGTGAGCTTCTGTGTGTTGGCGAGTTTGTGTGTGTTTGTGCATTCCTATGAGGGTACATGTGCAACACGGGGAACTGGGGAGAAAAACAAGGAACAGCAGGGAGACAGGAGTGTGGCAACAGGCGAGAATAGGATCATATGGGATGGTAGGAGAGGGAAGGGGGGAGGACAGCCAGCAACTGCTTGCGATCACTACAGAAGAAGATTGATTCGTCAGGGCATCCAGTCCGCGCATATCAAATCCACCAGTGGAAGATCTTTAAATTGAACGCTACAGTATCTAGCAACGTCAGTTGAGCAAGCTTCCACACTCCATTATCATAATAATCGCTCACTGCCTAGCTGCCTTGTGTGCTCTTGGTGCCGGCCTTTCTCCCCTGTCTCTGGCTTCGCGCTGCTGCGCTGTATGCTTCCATCCTGGGCGGTTTTGAAAAAAGACTGTCGTGGTGAGTGCCTGTGAAGACGGAGAAAGGCAGCATCTGTTGTCAGTGTGTTGCGCATATCATGAGCTTTGGGAGGGAATTCGGAACTACGGTATGGGCTAAAGCTTCTCTTTTTTGGACTAGAACATCAGTGACCACAAGCGTTGAGTTGTCAGGGAAGGGAAACCACCACACAGGCGTGGGGTGCCAGCTTTTGCAGGGGGGTTCGGCACACATCATCATGGCATGGTGGCGCAGGAGAGACAGGAAACCATCTGATAACTTCACAACCAACAGCCGTGTAATGACTCCTTTCACCAGCTGTTGTTGTAGCTACACTGCAAGTTCGATATCTAAAAAACAAGTGGAATCAAATACCAGTAAAGACAGCGACTACCGTACATGTAAGGAACGGGACTACATGTAAGGGATACGGCACTTGCACTTTGGCGAGTGCATCCCGACGGCCACGCGCCCATCACGTTCGGCCTATTTCGTCGCACCGAACCACACCCGTGTCGCCCGTCAATCGCAACAATATCCAAGCCATCTTTGCCCCGCCTCTTCGCCTAGCTAGGTTTCCCCGATTTAGTCTCGGCACTTCCACAGCGGAATGTACCCTAATTCTCATCCTCGTTATTTGTTATTCTGCGCACTCTTCAACTTTATTCATAACATTACAACTACCGTATCGCCCCGGATATAAGCGCCGCGGCGCTAATCATAAAATCGATTTTTTTAGGGGTGGCGCTTGTAATTGAATAACGGCCATAAGCGCCGGCGCTTATATAAAGACAAATACAGAAATACAATTCAAACGCACCAACATGTACATTTCAGTCTCGTAAGTTGAACGGAACTAAAACTTTACAGCGTCCAGAATCAGAATCGCGCGAGGGCGAATTTCTGACGGTGCACTGAGCTTTGGCGCGTCATTTTGCCCGCGTGCCAGCTCATACTGACTGGACGCGCAACCAGTGAGGTCCGCGAAAGTCAAACAAAGTGAAAATGTGATGTGACTCGCTAGAAATATGAAGTTCGTTACCGTTTTAATCGGGAATGAAAAATAAATTTAGGCATGCGCTTATAATAAGTAAAGCATTTTCAGGGGGGGGCGCTTATAATCGAATTCCGGCCATAAGCGCCATGCTCCAGATAGAAGCGCCGGGGCCTTTAATCGGACGGCGCCTATATCCGGGGCGATACGGTAAAAATGTCGGTACCCTATACAGTGCGATTCACTATAGCCTAATACTACGGTATATAGTTTCTAACAAATATACGGTGTCCGAGATCACCTTCGGCAACACCTTTTTCATCCTTCCGTCACACCCCGGATATAACCCCATGGGGGGCAATAATAAAACATGTATTTTTGGGGGGCCCTCTCTCTCACTTTGTCGACCTTCCGTACAGCCCCTAGACGCCCGCGCGCCGCCCGTCCCGGTCCCTAGACGCCCGCGCGCCGCCCTTAGACGCCCGCGCGCCGCCCGTCTCGGCCCCTACCGCCCGCGCGTTGCCCGTCAGGCCCCACGCCGCCGTCGCGCCACCCTTAGGCGCCTGTGCGCCGCCCGTCCCAGCCCGTCGACGCCGGGCGCCGCCCATCCCAGCCCCACGCCACCCGTTTGCCGCCCGTCAGGCCCCACGCCGCCGTCGCGCCACCCTTAGGCGCCTGTGCGCCGCCCGTCCTGGCCCGTCGACGCCGTGCGCCGCCCGTCCCGGCCCCACGCCACCCGTGCGCCGCCCGTCCCGACCCCTCGTCGCCAGTGCGCCGCCCGTCCTGGCCCCTCGCCACCGTCCCGGCCTCAAGCCGCCCGTGTGTCGCCCGTCCCGGCCCCGCTCCCAGCCGCCCGTGCGCCACCCGTCCCGGCCGCACGCCGCCGTCCCGGCCCCACGCCGCCCGTACGCCGCTGTGACACCCAGCCGCCCGAGCCGCCCGTGCCACCTGCGTCACCCGAGCCGCCCGAGCCGCCTGCGCTGCTGAGGAGCCGGGCCGCCCGAGCCGCCTGTGCCGCTGAGTGCCCGAGCCGCCCGAGCCGCCTGCGCCGCTCGAGCCGCCCGAGTCACCTGTGGAGCCGAGCCGCTGGTCCCGCGGAGCTGCTGTTGCTGCTGGGCCGGCCGAGCTGCAGTGTTGCCGTGTTGCTGTGCTGCTGAGCTGCCCGACCCGTCCTGTCTGGTGAGACCGTTGACTGCTGTCATGGCTACCCCTAGTATCCTAGCTTTTGACGTTGAGGGTCGCGCCATTGACTTTGAGGTTTGGGTCGACGACCTGCAGCTGTTCTTACAGTGCGATAGGGCAGACGGTCTTTCTCTCTTTGACCTCACCTCTGGCGCCGTCCCTGCCCCTGCTGCTGATGCTGACCCCACTGTTCGCTCCCAGTGGGCCACACGCGATGCTGCTGCACGTCTTGCTGTGCGTCGCCACCTACCTACCGCTGAGCGCGCGCACTTTAGTCAGTACAAGAGTGCTCAGACCTTGTACGACGCTGTAGTTGCGCGCTACTCCTCCCCTGCCACTGCTGCACTGAGCCGCCTCATGCTACCCTTCCTCTTCCCTGACCTTGCTGCCTTTCCCACAGTCACTGACCTCATTACGCACCTCCGCTCTAGTGACACTCGCTACTGCGCTGCGCTCCCTGCTGACTTCTGCGCCAAGAACCCCTCCCCCATGTACATCAATCTCTATTTCATAGTCACTCTTCTCCCTGACTCCCTTCGTGTAGTCAGGGACCACTTCCTTTCAGTCTGTCCCACCACACTCACTGTAGACCTCCTCGAGAAGTCCCTCCTAGCGGCGGAGAAGAGCATAGTCGCTGTAGGGGCCTCTCGTGGTGACCCTCGCACCCCCATCTTTGAGGGGTGTTCTCCTTCCCCCCTGTTGCCCTCTGTCGCCTCTGCCGCTGCGGCCAACCTCGTTGGTCTTGAGTCGGTCGGTGCGGCGTCCGCCCCTAGCGGGAGACGCCGCCCTGGCAAGGGCAAGGGGGGCAAGGGCGCGGGTGGAGCTAGCGGGGGCGTTGGAGGTGGAGGTGGCGGTGGCGGAAGGAGTGGGGGTGGCGGTGGAGGTGGTGGAGGGGGTGGAGGTGCTAGTGGCGGCAACGGAGGCGGAGGCGGCGGTGGCGGCGGCGTTGCTGGCGGAGGCGGCGGTGGCGGTGGAGGTGGAGGCGGCGGAGGTGGAGGTGGTGGAGGTGGTCGGAGTGGCGCTTCGCAGCGGAGCAGCACTGCGGGTGGTCAGCGCCAGCAGCAGCAGCAGCAGCAGCGTTCTCGCGACGTCCCCACCCCTCAGCAGCTCCGTGAGTGGTACACGCAGCGTCAGCGTGGTGGGGGTTTTGGTCCCTGCACCTACGTCCTTCGCACCGGCGACCGCGCGGGTGAGCAGTGTGGGGGTGCCCACCCCGCCCAGCGCTGCTTTGGCCGCCTGACGGACGCTTGGCGCCAGCAGTTCCCGGAGGCCACTGAGATCCCCCGCTAGGGAGAGCTGTCTAGGGCTGGTGTATCTATCTTTGATCTTGTATGCTGTGACTATTAGTGATGAGGGTGACTGTTACCGGTGTTTCCCGCCCGACCCGGGCATTGGTACTGCTGCTCTAGGTGCCAGTGAGGCTACTGCTCTAGGTGCCAGTGCGTCTGTGCTCTCAGGTAGGGGAAGAGGCGGTAGTAGGGTACCGACTCGTCGAACGTGACGTCCTGGGAGGACAGAACACGACGAGAGGTGGGGTGGTAGAAGTG